AAAGAGGATGTGCGCGTAGGTAACGACTATTTAATTTACAAAAAGTTCCTGTCTCGTGACTTCTCCTGTAGGTGACGCCTCTGGCTCAACATTCTCGCTACGGTAATAACATTAAACGTGTCAGCGTACTAATGAGATACAATATCGAGTCACGACTCGCCAATGTTCCTTGTTCGAGATAATATACTCGTGCATAAGCCATTGTTTTAGCTGCGTTCTAGTCGATTCCATTGAAACTGTCCGTATTCTTTATGAATTACAGCGAGAAAGGAAATTGGAATTATTTTGATGTTTATTTCAAGACTAGTCGATACATATCTATTTAATGTCTTACAGGACAGTGAAGATGAAAATGTAACACGAATTATCATCTAACAAACAAATAATCTGATACTGACTCGGATATTTCCCGTTTTCCAACAGTACTCTAACATCCAGTTGCACAAACGATATTTAAAGTTTAATGAAGACTCTGACAATCCCAATATCCAACTTGCTATATTTGTAGATTGCCAAAAACTTGACCAAGTCAACACAAAAATGGGACAGGGATATGGAAATATAAACTAGAATTGAAATCGCACGCAGTACGTTTGGATAGATGAAAAAACGTGCTCTGCAAACGCGATCTTAAAATTCAACATCGGGTTAAACTTCTCCAATGCTATATACGTCCCGTACTTATAAACAGATGTGAGACTTGGACTGTTAAAGAGTACTTCCGAAACCGTATAGAAACGTATGATGGCAATATCCTGGGCACAAAAGGTCACCAACGAGGAAGTTTAACAAGAAACGCAAGCTTCACCAAACTATCAAGCTACGTAATGTTGCATACAAAGAAGAGATCTGGTCGTAGAAGAAAGTCCTGGCTACGCAACATAGAGAATGGACCGGTATCAATAGCGTCGCCGAGCTCTTTCGCCTTGGCCAATATAATACAGAATAAGAGAATACCATAACGAAGAAGGCGACTTTGAGCTCCAATGGTGTTCTAAATCTGAAAAGATTTTAACTTGAATATGTCGCTTGTAACTAATGCCAATTTTAATGTAGGCTTGTGCAACTCGGTATGAGCACGAAAAATCAAGTGCAAATAAAATTCGTATTGAGCACGTTCATTTTTTATAGTTACAGCGCCACCTATCTCCCTAAGGGGAACTATTTTTGTTTCAATACACGAATTTGACATATTAAATAAATACGAATTCAATTGGCATTCGATGATTTTCATGACAAGGTTAATGATAAATTTATTTCTAAAAGTTGTTAATTTAATATAACTATAAAATAGTTTAATAAACTATCGCAAGGGTCGGTCACGAGATATAAAATAGTTTAATAAACTATTTTAAGTATGTAAAAAATAATTCATTAGTAAAGCAGCAGGTACAAATTTAAAAAAAAACTCAAGTTGGTACTACAAAACAAATTTTATTTCAAATTGAGATATCTACTTACATTTAAGAATGTGCTTGCACTAAAATCTATAATACTTATAAACTAACCGATGTTATTTTAAAAAAGTTTGGACGTTAGATATTTAATGAAAATATACAAAATGTTCCATACATTAACATTCATAATAATTGATGAAGTAGATGAAGGTGTTATATGATGTCGTATTTTTAACTATAAATCATGATTCGCTTGTATTATAACACTTTCATTTACTAACGTAAACACGAATTAAAATTACATACGTACAAATACGAATAGAAGTTAAGTATAAGCCAGGGGTCGACAACCTCGCGCAGGTTGTCTTTCAATGTAAAGCTGCGGCCCGCAAGTTCTCAAGTACATATATTTAATTATTTTACTGTTGAAATCCTTTCAATGGACTTATCAATCCATAGTTAAGTACCCATACTATAATGTGATTGAGATATAGTGACTATGGCTAAGAGATAGATCGAAATTATTTATAAAAATAAAATCTTAAATATAATATGAATACCTAATATTCAATTAGCTCTTTAAAACTGTACAATACCTCTTACGTCTCATAAGGATGCTGACCTCCGGTAAAGGCTTGTGACATTTATTAGTAAGCGCACCAGATAACGATCTGAAAATTTTATCATATTTTTCAAACAAAAATACGACTGCAATTTTTATGGTCGTAAAACAGCCCGTGTTGTCACTGCTGGCTTTTGCAGAATATCAGTGCAGTAAGTCCCGCTTACCTGTAGAAGTTCCGAGGGAAATACACAAGGATTCCGTAAAATATTATATTTTTGTAATTCATGACATGATAATATGTGAACATCTTTAATTTGTAATTTTTTGATACAGTGTTTCATAATATTATTATTATTATTGATATTTATTAAAAGTTTGAGAACCCCTGCCATAACTGACAGTATAATAATCGCAAAGATAAAAATTTGGGTACAAAATCCAAAAGATATCCAATGCCAAAAAAATACAAATAGGGTACATACAACACTATATCAGGTTACCACCAAATTTCAAAATTCCGTAATCTATTTTTATTTTGAACGTTAATCCCAACGATATAAGGTTTAACAATTGGGCTTTAACATTTGATCACATCATATAGTGCACCTGTAAGTTGCTCGATACAATGTTCACCCTGAGTGTGTAAAATAGAGTTTATTTTCGTTTGAAGAAAATACGTGCAGTACGTGCTTACCCAAAATCTAGAGACGACCATTGTTATGCAAAACATAGTATAATAGTTAGCATTAAACAACCATATCAACATCGCAACACCTTACATACATGACATCCGGTGTTATTGATGATACAATAAATAAAAGCATAGGGACTGCTTTTATGAACTAGCGATAAACGCGCGTTGACTATTAAACGACAAAGTTTCGTGACATATGTCCAACTCTAAAATAAAATATCTGCCTCTTTAGTTTTTTGTTTGGTAACATTGTGCATTAAAAATAAACAAATTGAAATACACTAAATGTTAACAGACATTAAGACAAAAAAGGTACATATAAATAAACAAATTCAATTACAATATTGTTCAAACTATTACAACATATAAATATGAAAATAAAATGATCCAATTACTTACATTATAAAATCTATACTAATATTATAAAGAGGTAAAGTTCCCAATTTTGTTTAAGAAATAATCATAAACTTTCAATGCAACAAACAGGGCGCAACAAGATAGAGGACAGTCGTGGTTTTACGTCCACTCTTAAAAAGCAAAAATGATGATTGCATATCGTCTATGAAGAGTCAATAAATAATAACTGCAAAAATGCAACTTTTCAGGAGACGAAAAAAACGTTTCAAATCTATTATATTGGTTTTTTCAGTACATTGCAATTATTGTTTATCTTACAAAAACAACGGAAACGAACCCAAAATCTTTGTCACTATTGTGTAGTAATCTATTTTACAACGAATAATTAAATAAAACAAAAATTGACAAAATATCAGTTATTATTTATTGACTCTTCATGGGCGATATGCTGCTCGACAGGCCATTTTGAATCCGAAGAGTTTTTTTATCAATTTAGTACTTTTTGATTAAATGTCATTAAATATATTTAAGAAAAACAAAATATAAATCACCCAGTTATTATTGATACTTTCAGAATAGATATATATATACAAATTGTTATCAAGAATACATTTGGATTTGATTATTTTGCTTTTCTTCTTTTTTTTTCATTATGTGACTTCTCTTTTTTTACTAATAGTCTACTCTGAAGTAGTTTACAGTAACTGCCTATCACAGTCGAGCCGTTAAGAAAGCAAGAATAACTGTTTTAATTTAAAAAAATACGAACTTCCACACCATGTCTTTACTAACAATAAAAATTTGAAATGATTACCTAATAGAAAATAACTATAGAAGTAATGTGATAGGGTTCGATCAGTAATACTTTTATTTTGATCTTTTCGCTAGTGTGCGATGTACAAATTTAATTTGTATTCCAAAATCATCACATACAAACAAATTATTATTTCCTATTGTTACAAATTTTATCATATAATTAATAAATACAGATCTGTAAATGCGCTCGAACGTCAGTTACCAATCCATGGAAATATCTCAAAATATTTCTACTTCAATTATGAATATAATAAAATTTTAAATAAGATAATATTGTCAATCATGGATAATCTGAATGTTTTCATAAATGACAATTTTCAATAACATGGCATATTTGACAATAATACGCATAAGTTTGTTTTTATGCAATTTCTTTTTTCGCTGCAAATCTAAATCAAATCAAATGGGTATTGAAAATTTTACATCCCTATCCTTCATTAAATTAATTCTTTGCAAATTGCTATGAATTTTTCAGCAGTCATTATGCCAGTGATTAAGACTTGAACGACCATTTTAAAAATTTTTTCCTTGCATACCCGCACAAACAACTTTATGATGAAAGTTGAGTAGTTACAGTTTTAAAAATTTGTATCATCAAGAAGATTTAGAGCATAGAAATCTGGAATAAGTATTAGCTAAAATAAATTTAGCATGTAAATATTTTTTTTTTATTCTAGTTACTAAGGACACTTGAAATGTTATTTAAAAATGCATTTACAGATTTAATTTCCTCGATCCATTATGTGAGCCAAGTATGGAGTTATTAAACTTTTATAAGTGTTAAGCAACAAACAAATTATAATGAAAATCTTGCTCTTAATAATTAGGTATCTTAGTTTCTTTTTTTTAATATAATTATATGTCCTGAATAAACAAAACCATGCTTCCAAAAAATATATATAATTTAATTTTAGTACCATAGAAACAATACGGTTTTCTGTTTGTGGCGGCAACTAAAATTTAACTCTGTGATAAATCAATTTTATTGAGTGTTGCCCGAATTACAATAAAAACTCAATAAAACTGTTTAATCATTTCTTTTTGTATGATGGTATTGATAAATTCTTAAATGACATACACTGATTTGTCCATACATCAAAAAATGCGTATTTTTAATATAAATTGACTAGAAATGCAACATTTAAGTGCTGATAATGTTAATCTATACTACTTAAATATAAAACAGCCTCACTTTCGAAGTTGTAATGAGCATATCTCCATCAAAGAACTTTGTCTCGATGACCACATTACCACTGAAATTAAGAAAATAATTTTTAGTTTTAAAATTTCAGCACCTGCAATAAATAAACATAATAATGTGGCTTGAAAAGATTGAACATAAAATGATTAGTTAATACTATTTTGTAAATACAGTAAAACTAGCACAGCAGTGGTGGAATAATGTACTATATGAAATTAATAGCTGCAAATCGGCCCTGTTATTGAATGTTTTAAATGTCAAAGAGCCAGTTGTACAAACATCCATTAAGGTTTAACAATGACTTTAAGTTTCAATGAATGTTCTAAATTTAATTTATATCAGCATTATAGCTTTAAATGTAAATTTTTATAGATCTTTGTGCAACTGAGTGATAACGATTTAACTAAGAAAATAACCAATCAGATGACGAAATTTGATTAAACAGCTAGATAACAAATTGAACAGCTGTTAACCAGTCAACTGCATACCTTTTACAAATATCATGATTATTGTTTGCATAATGATATTTATGTAATGGTACATATATACTTTTAAAAGTAATCACAATGACCAATCAGTTTTAAGCCGCTATTTTATGATGGTAAATTTGAAATTACTTGCAGAAATTTTACCTAATGTGCTGCTATGCTATAAAGAAAATTTAAAATTATTTTTTTATGAATTAACACTTACTTTAGAACATTTGCTGGCATCATCTGAGATTCAGGTGCAGACTCAATCATAGACTGCCAAGTGTTACATGAATTAGCAATAACATAGCCAAACTCAAAAAACCACTCTTCTAAACACCGTCCTTTGAACAGAACTTTCTGAAAAACAACAATCAAATGTTGAAATGAATGTTGTTTAGTTGTCATAAAAGATAAACACATTAATAGAGCAAAACAAATTAGTTATACCAATACAGATCACATTAACATGTAATTCGTTAGTTCATCTTCTAATAGTCTTAGATTTTTAAAAAATTAATAATATTAGATTCTTTTTTATTTATTGTAAGTAATCATACAGAAATGAAAATACGAGTGTAATTGACTTAAATTTATTTATTTGTAAGCAGGGTATGTTTGAAATATTTATCACTTACTTGTTCTAGCCTGAAACGTTCCATTGATTCAACGGAACTGAAGTTGAGCTCACGAGATACAACTCTGCATTTAAGAATACGCTTCGGAACCCGAGCTTCATGCTCTACATCTGGATTGGACATATCTTCGTTATGCTGCCATAGGATTTTACCTGAAACATATTTATTTAAATGAAAAGGTATTCATGAATAGGTTTTTGGAATATCTGTACCTCAACATAAGTAGGTAAATTTTAATTTTAATAATATCAAAAGGTAGCCAAAAGTTAGGTAAATAGCATAACTCAAAGATGTACTTTCTTATGTTTGGATTCAAATTATTTTTACACAGAATTCAATTCTAGTTGAAATGTAAATTGTAGGAATTGCACACAATTGAGCGACATTTAATCTTACCTGTATCTGCATCACGTAAATTCATCCAATTACTGTTGGTATGCTAAGGAAAAATAATGGCGGAATGGAATATGAAAGAATGAAGACAAATAGATTGTCTTTGTTAAAATATTTTGGTTGAAGTTTACAATAACTTATAGTTTTTTTTATTATTTATGATAAAGTTGTAACACCAAAACAATTGTAAATATTTTTTAGTTTTTTGGCAGCGACTTTACCCACGTTGTCCTGTGTTTTACATAAACGTTCCTTTCGAAACATTCTATAACTGATTAAACCTTTGTGTAGTTTAAAAGATCTCTGAGTACAGACAACAGGAAGCGACATTGTTTTATACTATGTATAGATAATAGAATAGATCTGAAAATAAAATTGGTAAAGGATACACTTGAAAGCCTTTCAGAATTGCTTCTGCTCGCGTCTGCTGCTTCATTTCTTCTGTTGCTATAACTTCCGTCATTATACGTTGTTAATTGGTTTTATTGTAATTGATAGAAAGTTAACACAAAGAATTCTGTTATATCCAAATAGTTTTTAATCTAAATTTTCACAAAAACAGTAAAATCACTTTGCGTACGCTTACAAATTGACTGAACTAATTTTTTTTTAATAATAATGTACCGTGTGATTTTTATTTTATGAATGAATGTTAGGATTGGGCAAAAACTATCGATATATCAAAATATCGATATCTTTTCAGAAAAAAATATCGATATAAATCAGCGATGTATTTTCCCGTGATATATCGTCTTTCGATATTTATCTTCAGATATCAAATTCGTATCATAATCGATATATATTTTTAAGTTCTGCTGTCTGCTCATACGTCGCATCGTGTATTTCTTAAATTTAAAAAAGAAGTAGGTAGTATGAGTTTAGAAATTACAGTCTATAATTATCCTGCTTGCCTTTTTTGTTTCTTTATGACAATGATACTGCTTGTTAATTTGGTTGGTGTTACTGAGAGTGCTCCTGATGTGAATATCAGATAAATTCTTATTTGTTTGAATAATGTTATTTTTGTTGTGTTGATGATGTTGTTTTTTTGGCTTTATGTACCTATTTTAAATAAGAAAACAGCCAGCTGTTTATTTGCTTTAAAATTTCGAATATTTTGACAATTTATAGATAATCACCAGTAGTCGTAATTAGGTAGAGTTATTCATGTACTTAGACTGATTTCATACAGCGAAAGAATAAAATGGATATGCCTCAAATCCCGAGATTAATTTTAAAGAGCAGAAAAAATCCCGAGATTTTTTAAATAAATAGTTATTTACTTTTACACAATTTAAACTACTGCACGCACGACGTTGCCAAACTTACATCAATGACATCGGATGTCCAAAGTTGCAAAATACCAATACGCGCGATGTTGCCACGAAGGTCCACATTAATATCAACATTTCGATGCAAGTACATATATAACTCTACCTAATTCCGACCTCTGATAATCACTTATTGCGCATAAATGTCGATATATTTTGGACCATATTTATCGATATATTTGACAAAATATCGATACGATATATAATCGATATTTTTTCCCATTTGCCCATCCCCAATGAATGCACAATGAATGATTGGTTGTCAGTTTCTGTCAAATGTCAATATCACACCGCACCATGTTTTTAGTGATGAGCATTTCAAAACGTAAACCGCTTAGCAGTTTCTAAAACTGTTAGGCGGTTCTGTAACATTTTTTCTTGTCTAGTTATGTTCAATAGTATTATAATGTGTTCTTATTATTATATTTGATCAAACCAAGTGGTTTTTTTTAAGCATTTTTCATTAAGAATATTTGTCAGTATAGCATTGTGATTACGAAATTGATCAAATATGTGGTTTAAGATCTTTATTTAGCTCACAAGAATTTAAAATTCACTTACATGAGTCATATAAATATAATAATTCTTTTCATCTTTATCAAAAGTTTTAATATTTGTAAAAATATTTCTTTCGGCTGTTTGGATGGATTACCTGAACATTGATAAGAATACGCTCTGTAGTAGCGAAAAAGTAACAAATGCTTGAACTTTGAAGGATTTGTCGGTCCTGATAGGTTAGGTCATGAGTTCGAATCCCATCTCAGGGTGACAGGGACCGAGTGGATTTTTAAGCATTTATCATTAAGAATATTTGTTAGTATAGCATTCTGAATGCGAAATTGATTAAATATAATAAGCAAAAAATTTCGACAATTTTCAGCTCCTTTTCACACATTTTGCTATAAACATTAAATCAACATTTCTCGCTTGAGATATAACTATTTGGGCATTTTGACAAAATATATTAATATTTGCACAAATATTTACAACAATGAGCAACTATTTTAGAAAAAAAAAGAACTAAAAGCACTTGAATCTAGTCAAGTGCTTTTTAGCGATTCTACCAAAAGTAGATTTTTGAAAGAAACAAATGGATCAAAGAGTCATTTCCGTTTCTTTCAACGAACATTTTTGCAGGAAAAAAATGGGCCAAAGATAGTCACTTCAATTCCTTTTACTAAAGTATTAAAAAATTCGATACTTAAATATCAATACAATAAGTTGTTTATAGAGTTTTGTTTTGTTTTTTGTTTCCTGCAAAAATCTACTTTTGCTAGAGTCGCTATCTAGTGAGGTGCCTTTTTAGTGCTTTTGTTTTTTTTTTTATCCTTCCTCATTTACTTTTACATGAAAGAAAACCGGAAGAGTTGTCATGGAGAAATCAAGAATATACCATCATGAAATCTAGTTTGATTTCGGGAACTATTTTTTTTTATTTATTCCTCATTTACACTTTGATTTGACAGTAGTCAACAGTAGACAATCTATATTGCCATATGAAAATTAACATATTTTTCTTTTATTTTTTTGCCATCAGATTGTGGTACACCTATATAAATTGTTCAGTAGTTGTCTATTGTATGATTTTATGATTGAAAAGATTTTTGCCTGTTTTCTACTTATACTAGCAATGTGATTATAAAAGGTTAAATAATTTGTTTTAATTTAAATGTAATAGTTAATAAGGTATACTTGTATTACTCATACGGTCAGTTGCACAAACGTCTATTAAGGTTTAATGACGCCTTTAAGCTCTAATGAATGTTAAATTTGTATCGGTAATGTTGCGTTAAACTAATGATCATTTTAATGGACACTTGTGCATCGACAAATAGACTACTTTATTAGATCTATCTTCATCTAAATACCCATCCCTATCATAATATATTTTTTTAAGTTTTGCTCATAGAAAAGACAAGAAATACATACAGCCAGTTATGTTATTTTATTTATTAAAATGATGTTTATCGGTATTTTAATGATTGTATTTTTCCAGATTACATATTACCTACCTATAGAAATTATATTTGTCAGTTCTGTGTTTCTTATTAATTTTTGATGTTCTATTGTTATTTATTGCAGTGGAGGTTGTTCTGTCTGTGTAAATTGCTGCCTGTAATGAAACGACCAAGTTCAAAATGGATGACAGATTAGAAGAACAGCAGAAAAGTTGTAGATTTTTTGTGTACTTATCAGAGTTTATTTTGTGAAGACGATCAAAATATTTCATACTTGGTGAACTCTCAGGATTTTGTTGCATTTATATCTGTTATCACTTAGAAAGTGCTTTGTATTGTAGGGCATTAATTTCTATGAACTCAAAAAGTGAATCTGACGAAGCTTCAAGGTAATTTTTATACATTTTTTTAGACACGCGTTATTTTTATTATTTCAAAAGTGTTACAAGAGTGAACTGATCAAAACATATGATGCGAAATCTATTACTGCGTAATTATTACACGAAGGTTAGGTTATGCATTACTTGCTATTTTTGCCCTTTGTTTTGATAATAATTCTTCTAAAAGCTAACGGCGTACCTACTGAGGATACTAAAAGTGTTTTTTTTTTCTTTCTTTTCACATAGGGGGAACGAAGCATCATCGTCAAACACTGATCAAACCCCAAATAATTGTGAAGGTCAGCCTACATCAAGCTTATGCTCATCACCAGGTTCAAACAATACTCAAGACATAATGAAGCGTGCAGCTGCTAAACAATTGATTGAGAGATATTTTTACCAATTATTAGATGGTTGTGGTAACCCAAACTGTGACAATCAGTTTTGTGCATCAAGTGGAGAGGTAACTTTGAAAGTGTAGCTTATGCAAACTATTAGTAAAATAATTTGTTTGACTAATACTTACATTCTTTGTAGGCTAGAAATTTAACTCCAAATGAAGCAGCAGCAGAAGCCATAAAATTGTTTTATAGGGAAGCACGTCTCTGTGACAGTCTTCCTAACAAAGTGCCCCGTACTGAGGCCAGCACATGTGACTCGAGTGCTAGGTAAGACGTGAAAAAGGACATTATTTACTATGTCCCTTAAAATAAAGCAAATACTTAAATGATGTTATAACAATTATCCAAACATCTTTTTGTAAACTAATATAACTTTTCTACAAAAAAATACAGTATTTGTGAATAAATTCACTTTTTAGTCACATCTTTGTAGGAAACATTTTGTATGAATGAAGCATATACTTATATAACTATCTCAATATGTATTTATAAATCTTGCTAATTCACAACTACTGAAAAAAATGTACAAAGATGTGACTTCATGCAACATTTCAATTTATTAATTTAACTTATCAATTTATTGATTATGCAAAAGTGAAAAAAAAAATACCATTGAATATTCTTTAATAATTTACCCGACAAGACTGATAAACAAATATTAATCATCCCTATTGTATTTTCCAAACACAATGTATATACAATTATAAGTAGCTATAGCTTTCGTATATAACTTATTGAAGTTATTGCAAAAAGTATTTTAAGAACAACATTTTTAACTATTAATCTTTAAGATTGCCAGTGTTTCCACTAGGATTGCCGACTGTACTATAGTATTGTACTATATTTCATCTGTGCTGTTGAAGAAATATATAGTGTGCATAAATACTATATTTCTATCCAGCACTATTTAACAAATAAATCATTCATTTAAAAATTGATGAACATGACTAATTATTTTACAAAAAGAAATTAACATTATAAATGTGATCGGATATAAGTAAACGTTAGAGCATTATCTGCTTTTGTAGATTTTAAACTGATAATTCAGATGGTAAAGTACTCTTTGTCGGTTAAACTGGACTATGATCTGATGTGCTGTCATGGCAAGATGCAGGTATGAAATATTTTTTCGTCATCCCCTTAACAAAATATAATTAGCACATCAGGGATTTTGTTCTCATCCATGGGCCAATATGTCGGCTTATCTCGGAAATGAGGACAATATCTAAATAATGTTTTGTGATGAAAACATAATTTGGATATTGATCTGAATAAAAAAAAGCAAATTATTTATTTACAAATCCTTATGTTTTTGTGAAATTTCTCAATCACACCCATCAGTTACGAATCAAACATACCAAATGCCTGCCAAACAGATCCCTATTGTCAGGTCTTTCATCTTTCCTATTGAATGTGTGACTTATGAAAGTACGTTCTCTAACAATGGTGATCAATTTTTTATAGATATCCATATCCTGGCAGTTTATTTGGAGTAAGATGAGAATATATGAATATCTAAAACATTATTCACCCTTATATCTCATAAATTAATGTGATCCACACTTCATATTTTGAGAAATTATACCATTTCGTTATGCCTATCTATTAAAAATAATTATATATTCTAAAGTAGGTACTATTATATTTAAAAAATGTAACGACAGATAATTATCTTTTGTAGTACCACATGTTCAACGACACAGCCAAAAGACAAGACAGATAGTAAGAGCAAGGAGGTAAACTCTGCTACCACAAGCTCAGCATGTAAACAAGATAACTCAAAGGTCACACCTGAAACTAGTCATAATGTATCACAACAGGAGGATTGTAGAACTGTTGTTAGTCACAATAGTAAGTAATTATTTCATAATTATTAATTAGATGATAATTATCATTTTTATTTATCAATTTGTAAAGTAAAATCGTTATAAAACAGGACAGGTCTTAATGATTATAATTAACGAATTTGCTTCTGCATAATTTTTAAAGTAAATTAGGTAATATTTAATGCTTTTTCAATTAGTTTATTTTAGTGAAAAGGTATCAGTGGACATTTCATATTAGTACTGTATTGGCGACTTTCAATTAATAAAAATGTTGAAATTGAATAAATCATTAAAAATTCGTCTCAAACAATACTTTGCTAGAGTAGTGGGTAATATTGATGAGTTATCATCACCAGATGGAGCGCCACTCACAGAGGAACGTATCTACCAGCTCTGTGATGAGTGCCTACAAACAAAAATGCCACAGCCTTTGGTGAGGGCTTTGGGGGAAGCATTTACACAACCAGCCATACTCGCTCGATGTTTCCAAAGTAAAATTGTGCAGGAGAGCAGTAACGATGGTGGTAAAAATTCAGGTGAGGGTTGTAGACAATAAATATTTCTTATTTAAATTAGTCACTTCATAAAATAAGTTTTTTAGATGTACTGCATATGAGTATTAATCTCTACAAGAGCACTACATGATTTAACTATGGTGTTTATTAGCAATCGTGAAACACTGACTTTAATATATGTAATTAGTTTCTAAGTGTTTGTGCTTATTTTAGATAAAGAATCAAAAGCAATGTGTTCATCAAGTGATCCGGACAAGGATGTGGATAGTGTCACAGGCCCTGGCTTAGATGTAGCATCGTGCCGAAGAGCTTTTCAGTACCTATCAAAAGTTAGTATTAATAGAACTGAAAAATATTATTTCCTGTCTGTTGTTTTAAGTACTTTTTAGTAATTAATTATTTATTAGACACACACACACACAGGCACACAAACATCCATTAAAATTGACATTAAAGCGATATTTCCAATACAAAATTTATGTTTAGAACATCTATTGGATAATTTTCTATATTTGATTATTTGTATCGATAATCGGTCAGTAGCATAGACGTCCCCTAAGGTTTAATGACACCATTAAGCTCTAATGAATGTCTAATTTGTATCGGTAATGTCGCTATAAATTAATGACCATTTTAATGGACGTTTGTGCAGCTGAGTGTAAAAGTACGTATAATAAATAATTAATTACTTTTAACCACATAACTGGATGATAAATCAATTATTTACTGAGTATACTGAAAGAATTTTATTGAATTCATTTAAACTAGTATTGTTTAAAATAAAATTTAAGTGAAGAAAAAGACTATATCAACAATTCTCATCTTGTAAATATCAGAATAACACTAGTTGTTATTGTTTTTTCTTCTTTACCTAGGTGCCATCAGAATACTACAGTTCAGCGTTAGTGACAGCATTGACAACACTAGCTGAAAATCTTGAGATTGACTTGAGGATAACCAAAAAGATGAGCCTCGAAGATGCAGTCAATTGCTTTGTGATAGCATTCGAGGTGCCTGATCTAGGTTGCAGTGACTATTTGGAAATTGCACTTCCTGCGCTCTGTCATGCAGCTGAACATTTACCTATTAAAGGTATTTATAATCAAGTGTTATATAAAAAAAACATAGAAAAGAAACACTGACTTAAGTAAAAGAATTAAGATTAAAGTGGTCCATAAGATCTCATTTCGGCTAAGCTGCAATTTTTGCTTATTATTACTTATTTGATCAATTTAATTATATTTCAAATTCACTGTCTATTTTTTGTTTGTAACAAAAATAAATTTTAATATAGCCGCGTGCCGCATCTACGCAGTTTATATTACGTATTGATTTTACATTTTTGCTGCGTCAATAAGTATCGTACATGGCGAGTAGCCAATGGATTAAACTTATTGAAATAATAAAAAAAAAACTAATTATTTATTTGCAAATCATCATTTTCATGTATATTCTCGAATTGACTCACAAACTCGTTTCACATTACAAATTTACTCACTTCTTTCGATTTTTTTTTGATAAAAAAGATTGTCGGGACAATGTAGAAAATGAACTTTTCCATTTTATCTGGGGTCTGGGTGTTGTGGTACCTTCGTTGTCTCAGATAATCCATAATACGGGGGCTTTAGCTACACATTTTGGAATCTGAGCGATGCATGTGATGTCTAATATTTATTTTTAAAATTGTCCTTTGAATGTCAATTGGTACTTTTTAGACATATGATGTTACAGCGTTATAAACTATATTTTTATTTATAGCTTAGATCCATCTCTACTTCGTTTTTCCTGTTTTACGTTTCCTACCAAATGCTTTGTTTTTCCTGTTTTACATTTCCTACCACATTCATGCTCCTATTTAAAAGGGTTATATTATCCTTTTTGTTATATTCAAATAAGAGGAGCTGTATAGTGCAGTAGCTTAGGTGCTCGGTTTGCGATACAATTATCAAGCAAATTTCGCATTGATCGGTCATAGCATGGGTGACCAAAAATATGTCATCCCAAACTCCTCCGTGCTTCTGAAGGCACGTTAAACCGTTAGGCCCTGCTGCATCTGCAATCTTTAATACCCACCAATGGACCCGCATGGTGGGCCATGGCCCATTCTTCTTATTCGATTCGATTCCATCCATTGGGAAGGCCTGAACCCAGCATATTAATAGGCTAGTGGTGATTAGGATCTTTGTTCAATTTCAAAATAGTGTAATTAAAATATTCTTAATGAGAAACGCTTAAAAAATTCCTGGCCATTTTTAAGCATTAATATCGAATATAATAGTGTATGTAATGAAATTTCATGTTGACAAATATTATGACAGCGCAAGCTCGTTTAGCTCGCATATGGGCGGCGAGTTGCCGCGAAACTCTCCGCCACATCCTGGAGACGCTGCAACAGCTGATTACTCTACGAGTCATCTCCACAAATTACACCAGTCATTTCCAGGTGCAGGACGACGAGAGCGTAACCATGGCTACAAAACTCATGAAGGTAAACTATGAAACTTGATGTCACAGCATAGATGTTAAGGAAAATACGTCTATAATTGGAGGCATAAGGTTGTCAACTTTTTGGATTCTCTTTGTCGGATTCAGGGTCAGATCCCCCTGAGATAGTCGTAGGGCATTTTACCAGTTAGGCGTCGCTTAAGCCTGCCCTGCCTTGAGATAAAAAAGGGGTCGATAACTTTTAATAATAGAATATATTTGATTTCAAAAGGAAGTTAATTTTTTAAAAGAGTATCATTTTAAAGGTATATTTTGTTTTTTTTTTTGTACCTTTTGTTATTTTTATATTAGACATTATACATATATATTAAAAGTAAATAGTCCACTATTTGGTTACGATAATAGGTATATAAGCATGGCTGGTACGTTTGTTATAAACATTGTGTAAAAAATGGAGTATTTTAAAAACTTTTATTAGTTTTATAAATTATATATAATATAGAATACTCTATTTTAGAGTACAAACCTAAATGGTATTTTAAACCTTAGTTCAGTTAATTTTTTTATATTTACTGGTGGATAAGGCATACTATATTATTATATTTGTTTCAGATATTATATTATGCAAATATGTTAGCAGGAATAATGGAATCCAATACTCTAAGAGAGGAACCAGTAGTTATACCTAATCAAATAGATCCGTTGGGTGATGTTTTTGATCGTTTCTATCAGTTTTCCTCAATGAAAAATACAAAGAATTCACAGCCTGATGATCCTTTAGGTAAGAAATCTATAAATACACCACAATATTGAATGTGTTATCATATTTTATTATATTGAAAGTTATAAAATAATGGTTTTTATTTCAGCTATTGAATTAGATATAAATGTATTAGATGCTAGAAAACCACACTTGCCATTTGAAGACTTTTACAACGAACCACTTAGTGATACTATTGAAATGGAAATAGATTTTGCCAATTATAAAACGGAAATAAACAGCGGTAAGTTATTATATTGCTTATCAACTTGAATCCCATGTAATTGTGGTAATGATACATTCAAAATGAACCTTTTTCACGAATAGGAGTTGATAACAAAAACTAGAATTGTGTTGAATGTCTGTAAAAAAACTATCAAAGCGGTTGATATACAAATTATCACAAAATTTCAAGTTACTTAAGTGGCTATAGTTTTTATTACTTCTAACAAAAAATATATTTTGCACAAGCATATTACTCAACTAGCAGATAGTGATAATATGCCATCCCCCTTACTCTTCACTAAAATTATTTAAAAGCTAGAAATACTGTTTTTCATACCTACGTTGATTCGCGCTCGCACTATATTTTTGTTATGTTTTCTATTACGTAGAGGTTTTTGGTTGAATTGGCAACTAATTACACACCTCTTTCTTTTTTTCCTGTACTTTACCATTTCTTATATTAATTTGACCTCCCGCAGGCAAGAAGTTCACGTTCCTAAAGTACCCTTTCATATTAACGACTGCGAGTAAATCACTCGGCCTGTACTATGAGAACCGCATCCGCATGCACAGCGAGCGACGCGTGTCGATGTTGCATGCCGTGGTAGGGGCCGCGCCACCTATGCCCTTCCTGAGGCTCAAAGTGAGGAGGTCGCATATCATAGACGATGCTCTTGTTGAGGTGAGTAAATAATATATGAATAATAATTTCACCGAATACTATTCCGTTTAACCATTACCCAACCACATATTTGGCTGAATTATTCGGTTAATAACTTCTTTTTTTTCACGTGAAAATGTTTAAAAATAAAAGGATATTTAACGTTTGATTGCTTTATTTTGTTAGCCTTATTGAACACATTCTTCATAGGTTTTTTAATACTTCTAATATAACATAAATATTATATTGGAAGTTTTGACTTTAGTTCTATACCGTGTTGTGTAGCTAAGCAAATAGAAATATTTGAACAGAATATATTTGGCATCAAACCGAATAATTCCGCCAAATACAAATAGTGAAGAGGATGCCGAATATCAAACGAATATCCGGCGCATCTCTGGTAAATAACCTAGTCTTAGGGTAGACTATATATCATTTCCAACTTTCATAATCAAACATATTTAAAAGGCAGTTTGTAAATATTATACCTAGGAGTATATAAGCATAGATTGTAAATATAAAATTTATCAAATATAGTCATTGATACAAAATAATGACAATGACCTTTATATTTTGGTCCTTCGAGCCGGATCAAAATGAATGCTACAATAGCATTTACATTATATCTAGGTACAAGGTACATATATCTTAAGAAGAATCGATCGCTGATTCAAGTAAATTATACGATCGAGCTAGATGCTAATTTTCAATAAATATGTTGACCGTAGTTGGAGATGGTTGCGATGGAACGGGTGCTAGATCTGAAGAAGCAACTGGTGGTGGAATTCGAAGGCGAACAGGGCGTGGACGAGGGCGGCGTCAGCAAGGAGTTCTTTCAGCTCATAGTCGAGGAGATATTCAATCCTGATTACGGCATGTTCACGCAACAAACAGACTCACACACCGTATGGTGAGTAGATATTACCGATAATATCCTCTATCTTCGAGTTCTGATATAAGTGAGAGCAATTTCTGTGTTTTTTTGCCTAAGACTAAGAATCCGTTCATTGTTCCCTCGCTGTAATAAATCTTTTTTAAATCACTATTACATTTCCTTAAAGTCTCTCTCTATTAAATATCTTAAAATAGATTTGATTTATATTTTTAAATTTATTTATATATTATTTAACTTGCATCCTTGCAATATTACATTATTTTAGTGAACTTTCGATTTTTTTTTAATTACAGGTTCAATCCTACGTCGTTTGAAACTGAGGCACAATTCACGTTGATCGGTATTGTGTTAGGATTAGCGATATACAACAATATTATTTTAGCGGTAGACTTCCCCATGGTCGTATATAGAAAACTAATGGGAAAGAAGGGCTCCTTCGAAGACCTGGCAGACTGGAATCCGGTGAGTTTAAGCAACATTTCTACCTAATGAATTATTTGTTCTTATCATTGCTATGATCCCAAGTACTTAATATTAATAATTATCTATCTATCTAAAGCTTGTGTTATGGATTGGAAATTTGAACCAAAAAAGGTTCTGCAAGGAAACGGACGACTTGAAAGTTAATGTAGCTATAGCTAATCTACTTATAAGACTACCTCCGTAGCGTTTTCCCTGAGGTTCGGGTTCTCCTCCTGGTCAGGTCAATGTAGAAAAGGAACTTATTCATTGTCTCGGGTCTGGGTGTTGGGTGTTGTGGTACCTTTGTTGTCCGGATACTCCATAATAGCAATGTATGTGATGTCTAATATTAATATTTATTTATTATTAATATTATATCCACTATCGTTTGGGATATATTGTAATGAAATTTTATTTTGGTTTACAGATTTTATATAGAGGCCTAAAAGACATGATAGACTATGCCGGCGATGATTTACAAGAATTATATTATCAAACGTTTAGAATATGCTATAGTGATGTATTTGGTAATAATATATTCCACGACCTGAAGAAGGACGGCGATAGTATATTTGTAACGCAAGATAACAAAATGGTAAATATATTTATATATTATTTAGTCAGTACATAATTTGAATCCAGCTTCAGTATATTTAAAGTATTCAATAACTTTTGAACTTAATCCTAAATCAATCGGTACCGTTGGTTTAAAGCTAAGATTATTATTATTGCAATATATAGTGACCCCTCAAAACACATGTTCAAGAGTAATTCAAGCGATATTGCGTTATGTAATCAGGAAGATAAATACCAAATTGTTTTGGCAAGCGAAATCTACTGTTAATTATTAATAAAAATATATATATTTCAGGAATTCGTAGAGCTATATGCAGATTTTTTACTGAACAAATCTGTGGAAACGCAATTCAAGGCGTTCCGGCGCGGATTCGTGATGGTGACAGACGAGAGCCCCCTCTCCGCGTTATTCCGTCCCGAGGAGGTAGAGACGCTAGTCTGCGGGAGCAAAGTAAGTATTTTTGTTTCTAGTCAATTAGACATGATAATATAGGTACATACTTAATATTATCATAATATAGGTACACACGTATTTAGTATTTCAAATATAAATCCTTTTAGGCTTAGTTCGCTTACTTAATTTAACAATAACAAACAAAGTACCAGTTAAGCAAATAATAACGAGTTCTCATTTGGCAATGGTTGGATGACGTCATAAATGTAACTATGAACTATAACTGCGTCAGTTTCGCTGGTTAAAGTTATTTTTTTATTATGCCAAAAAATGATGATGCGACGCATTCCACAGTCAATGTTGAAGTCAGTGTGATAGATATCGTCAAATTTGATATAAACCTTTTATTGAACTGCAATTATGGTGCAACCGAGCCTAAGTTGTTAAAGTATTCATTGGAAAGGTTACGGGTATGCTATATATAATAAAAATACATATGTTGTTTGTCACTTCTAGTTAGTGTTAAAGTGACTCTAATAACAAAAGTGTAAAATTTACATTTTTACACGTTTACTTTGTGGATATTGATGGATCACACGATGACGTTTGCTACTCGTACGAATCGTAACATGACACCTGAATTTTTTTGGTAATTTATAATGCAACGGAGGTAGGACCTGATAGTGTCGGATGAATAGAATAGCCAGACATTTCGTTTCGAAAAGTACATCAGTGAGTCACATCAGTTGTATCTTACCCTATTATTTTCGATCGCCGAGGACTCGCGTATCAAATATAACGTGTAATAATAAATTAATTTATATCTTTACAGAACTTCGACTTCAACGAATTAGAGAAATCAACGGAATACGATGGCGGCTACACTGCCGAATCGGACACCATAAAAGACTTCTGGAGCATCGTGCACAGTCTGTCGCTGGAGGACAAGAGGAAGCTTCTTGAATTCACAACCGGTTCAGACAGGGTGCCGGTGGGCGGGCTCAGTTACCTAAAACTGGTTGTGGCGCGGAATGGGCCGGACTGCGACAGATTACCTACCGCTCACACATGCTTCAACGTACTCCTACTACCTGAATATAGCACCAAGGAAAAATTACAAGATCGCCTCATGAAAGCCATCAGTTATTCCAAAGGCTTCGGAATGCTTTAACGCCGGGCGAACATAGCTGTTGTAAAAAGCCATACTCGTGGTATATTTGTAATATTACAGAATAATAAAAGTTTGTTTTTATTTATACAACCAATGTGTTTTAATTTAAATGATACTTCGGTCGGTTTGGGGTGATTTCCTTTATTTTCATGTTGAAAACTAGAAACTAGAAATGGAATGTTTTATAATATATATCTAAAAATATTAATAAAATTAGTGACATAGAAATATGTTAGGAACTCTTCACCGTTATAAATATAATAAACCAAAAAAGAGAAATCTTACTCTTACTCAATAACAAGAATTATATTATCAACTATTTTGTTTTTTAGATTAAATTTAAAAAGCAAGCATTTCAAATAAACGGTAGCGGATGGAGTGGCGGCGATCGAACTGACAATGTAAATTGAGCCTTACGAATATTCTCATACAGCTCGATTTGATCGTGTGAATTCAAGTTGAATGCTTAATAGTATTTAGCATCATTTCGCTGCCATTGCCTATTTGAATTCACCATTTTAACGACTAGTCTTCATTTGATTGAGAAAATTGATCACATTTTTAGTTTAAAAATTTGTTTATGACAAACAAATTTTTAAACTAAAAATGTGACAAATAAGACCTTATCGTACAAGCGCTGTGGTTCATTCTCGCTTATCGTGCGGGTCGTTTAATATTCTCAATACAAATTCGTGCGAATTAGCCCTGATTAATATTTGTATAACATTCGTTGATATATGTTCAGTGAAAACAAATAGATAATGCAATTTTTGTTCCTCATCCACAATAATATTTTGTACTTTTACTTTCATATGGCAGATTTCACAAACATTTTATTTTTGTTTCTGATAAAAAAATCGCATATAAATACTTTGTAATTATTGAAAATAAAAATATATTTATAAGAGTATAACAATCCCAGATGCTCGTTCAGATTAATTATATGTTCAAGATGGCCGACTTCATTGCATCATCTGTTCCAATCACAACGTCACAAATACATGACATTTTTAATCTTAAAATCGCGTTTAATTAACGCTAACACTTGTCATTTGAAACAAGTATGAGTTGCAGCAATCGTGTCTGTATATGGATCAGTAATTAGCTAAAGCGTATATCTTGCTCGGACTAGGGACGATTGATTTTAAACGTAGTTCGTGGACGACGAGGGGGAAGGGACGTCGGCAGGGAGGAGGGGAGGGGGGCCGCGGACATGCGCCCGCGTCCGCTGATGCACGGCGCTGCTGACGTCTGTAACCAATGAGGTAAACAATGTTTATACACATAACGGTCCAGCTGTCTAATTTTTAAATCTATTGGGATTTAAAAGGCGAATGATGACGTGAATGACCAAGAAACAACTAAAACTTAGACTCGTCGAAAGATAGCAATTTGCATTCGACTCTCGTTTGATATTTTCAATAGCTTCCACGCGTTTTTCACTATGTTTATTTAATATCTCTCAAAAAAAGCGTCGCAATCGTAATCACATGTCAAATAGTTGTAGCGTGAAGTTAGTGAATATCTTTAAAAGGTCAAATTGAAATGGATTGAGGTTTGATGCAATGTTACCCATGATTTCATTGCGCGGCGCGTATGCCGATTTTAAGGTGTCGCCGCCTCTGAGGTCTCGCGGTCGATTTCCGATCGGGTAAATGAGGTAAATGAACTTTTCTACATCGTCTCGAGTCTGGATGTCGTGATACCTTCGTTGTTTCAGATTGCAAAAATACAGTGCTTTACTTATTTAATTAGGGACCTGTGCAATGTATGTATTTTATTTTGTAATTTTTTTATTGAAAACATTTGTAAATATCAAAGAAGCGGAAGATGTATGTAAAACGACTTTTTTTTATAACGCAAGGGAAAAGCACCATTCTTCAACCACACCTGTTGGAGCATGATTGGACCTGTTAAAACACGCTGCAGAATATCCCCTATGTCCCCACAGAGATCCAGCAAGAAGCTCGCTTGATCCAATCCAAAGAGAACTTGCCTCATGACTTTAGCTCATAGTTAATATGTTACCTGTGATGAGCGTCGCAATTGCACGCTTCTGGGACCCGGAATCCATCAAGGAGTCCGACGGATCTAGTGTTTTTACATTGCCTCGTGACGTTATCTCATAGAACGTTACCTGTCATGAGCGTCGTAACTGCACGCAGCGGAGACCCGGGATCCACCAAGGAGCCCGATGGTCCAGTGTATTTACATTGCCTCGTGACGTTAGCTCATAGAACGTTACCTGTGATGAGCGTCGCAAATGCACGCAGCAGAGACCCGGGATCCGTCAAGGAGCACGCCGGATCGAATGTACTTAGATTGCCTCGTGACGTTAGCTCATAGAATGTTACCTGTGATGAGCGTCGCAATTGCACGTGGCGGAGACCCGGGATCCACCAAGGAGCCCGATGGTCCAGTGTATTTACATTGCCTCGTGACGTTAGCTCATAGAACGTTACCTGTGATGAGCGTCGCAAATGCACGCAGCAGAGACCCGGGATCCGTCAAGGAGCATGCCGGATCGAATGTACTTAGATTGCCTCGTGACGTTAGCTCATAGAATGTTACCTGTGATGAGCGTCGCAATTGCACGTGGCGGAGACCCGGGATCCACCAAGGAGCCCGATGGTCCAGTGTATTTACATTGCCTCGTGACGTTAGCTCATAGAACGTTACCTGTGATGAGCGTCGCAAATGCACGCAGCGGAGACCCGGGATCCGTCAAGGAGCACGCCGGATCGAATGTACTTAGATTGCCTCGTGACGTTAGCTCATAGAATGTTACCTGTGATGAGCGTCGCAATTGCACGTGGCGGAGACCCGGGATCCATCAAGGAGCCCGCCGGATCCAATGTACTTAGATTGCCTCGTGATGTTAGCTCATAGAATGTTACCTGTGATGAGCGTCGCAATCGCACGTAGCGGCGACCCGGGATCCATCAAAGAGCCCCCCGGATCCAATGTATTATTAACATTGCCTCGTAACGTTAGTTCATAAAACGTTACCTGTGATGAGCATCGCAATTGCACGTGGCGGATACCCGGGATCCATCAAAGAGCCCGCCGGATCCAATGTACTTAGATTGCCTCGTAACGTTAGTTCATAAAATGTTACGTGTGATGAGCGTCACAAGAGCACACGGTGGGGACTCAGGATCCATCAAGGAGCTCGACGGATCCGGTGTATTTACCTACATTGCCTCATGTCATGACGTTAGCTCATAGAACGTTACCTGTGATGAGCGTCGCAATTGCACGTGGCGGAGACCCGGGAGCCATCAAGGAGCTCGACGGATCCGGTGTATTTACATTGGCTCATGTCATGACGTTAGCTCATAGAACGTTACCTGTGATGAGCGTCGCAAGAGCACGCGGCGGCGGATAGTGCGGCGGCGGCAGCCTGACGGCGCGCGTGGCGGCTGCACACGCGGTGCGGCGACGCGTGCTCGCTCTCCAGCCACGCAGGCGCGCTGCCGCGGCGGGACGACCGGCACATGGACGCGTACGTGGGCGCGGCCACGCGCTCCACCTGACACCATGACATTTGGTTTAGAACAGTGTTCCCAAACTAGTGATTTAACTCGTAATTTATATGACCCCTGAAAGTGATTGCACATTTTTGACTATTTTCAAATAGGAGTCTATTGGAATTTACCTTAATTTCCTTAAGGTCCGGACAAGGACAAGGAATGTTAAGAAATGCTGCTTAATTAAGAATATTTGAAAATTAACTATCTCCGTTAGAACGTAACCAGCAAAAAGACTACCCATCTATATATTTTAATCAGAACCTTAAGATATTTCTATCACGCGAATATCCTTTTTTATTGCATAAACAACCAATAACATACAGAGGTCTTGTCCCTGACGAACTATTTGGATTTTGGAACGTTATACTGTTATACGAACGGTATACGTCAATGTTTAATAGAGTATCTACCTCTCTGTCAGCAAAACCAATCACGATTTGAATTCCGCTATGGCTAATTTGTATGTGTTAACTGAGTGATTAATTTTATTTCTTACTTATATGTAGGCTTTAGAGCTGCACATTACGTTGCCACAAGACGTCACCTACAATCTAAGTTAGCCAAAACCCAATATTCCAAAACTCTGCACAAAGCGCTTCTCGTCATCATTTATCTTGCGTACTGCCAAATAGTGGAATTCCCTGTCGTCATCTATATTTCCGAGAACATAAAATCCATCGTCCCACCGTAGATCTCACTCATGCCCCCAGGCTGGATTGAGATCAAGAGTTTGAACAGATAGAAAATTTGAAACATTTCGTCGACTTGATGATTGGCCTTCCTGTTTTCATATATTTTGCGTTTATAGTTACCTCAAACACATGTTTCTTCCCGCGACGCTTGGGCGCTGAGTGTGCGGCGGGCGTGCGGCGACGGCGCGGCTGCGCGGGTGCCCCACTGCCCTGCCCGAACAGACCGCGCTCCTCCGCCACACGGATCATATACTTCGCGTCTAGCCGGGTGATCTCCTACGGTCACCCTACGATTCTGTATTTATCTTACGCTGTTCCCAGCATAGGTGATACATAATGTACCTAGTATATTACGACCAGCGGCGTGCTAAGTCGAATGCCAAGTCGCGGCGCCTTCCTCTTGTGGCCAAACCAAGAGAAATATGTTGTATTCTTGGTAGATATAATTGATCTGATTAATTTTAATTTTAGCTCACCATTTTTTTAATAACAAAGCAAATAAAATGGTGAGAAAATATACAATAGGACGATGTGAAACCATTAGAAGAGGAGATTCCGTCACTCTTTTGGAGAGCGTACTTTTGGGTCAACGTTTGAACCATATGAAATCCCAATTTATTATTAGCGACCCCAGTCCTGTTGCGCATACACGAGAAACGTGCAAGAAATTGCCTACCCGACAGAGAATACCGCATTGAATCCGCTGTGTCGTAATGGAGTTGAAAGAGCTTAGTAAACAGCTTAGAACGATTTTAATTTATACTGGAGTAAACTTTTCATATTTTTTTGTAATCATCAGGTAGTAGCATATTGTCTTTAAATAATAATGAACATTTATGTTAAAAATGCTTAATAAATAAAACTATGTTATGTATCAGGCTGGACTTGAATCCGATTCCAATTGCGCTACCGAATATCTAACAAGAGTATAGATTTTCTTCGAATATTTATTACATTCTCCAATAATAATGAATAATATCTTCATAATAATAAGAAGAATTAAATAAACAAACCTTTCTCTGTATGAGCCCGAGATAGCAACCGTCTCTATCTAAAATGTAATTGATGTCCAACCCGTTTCCTAGATTTGGCAACGTCGATATTTCAAACAGATCGCAGTCTGGTACCTGTTACATAAATAATATTAAATTACCCTTTGCGTGGAAAGAGCGGATAAGTAGTTCTCCAAATGTGTCAACGAGTCACGTACAATAATACCCGGGCTATCTTTGTCAGGGTCTCTCGGGACCTGTTGGTTTCCTTCTGGCATTTCTGGGATAGGCCTTGCAGGTGTAGTTCCAGGTCTAGAACTGACGACTACGCTATGTTGTTTCTTCAACACCGTTTCGCCGCTACGAGGTCTCGTCCTCGCAGTAGGGGGAGGTGACGGTCGACTTTTCGGCGACGAATTGGCTACTGATATTTCTTCTTCATCTTTCTCTGTGTTATCGGATCTATTCAATGCATTGTCCAAGGAATCGGTTGATTCTGTACCGATTACATCGGTAACTTCTTTCTTGGGACTCTAAAACAATATTTACCAAATGTTGGTGCTTCTTTTCCATAGAAATGGAACATTATATTGGTGCCTTATATTAATTAATGGCATTCTAAAGAATTACAATAATGTTATACAAAATCTAAAGATGATATCGTAGTTGAAGTAATATTAAAAAGTAAGCTGAAATTTTATTGTGCGACATGTGCAATTGCGATCAGTGAGAGATCAGTGCAATCCACCACATAGAAATTGCAGAAAGAGTACAACGAAGTATAAGGAAAATATTTTCAATTGAGGACTTTATAGTGTCCCATACACTATAAAGTCCTCAATTGAAAATATTTGGAAGTTTTGTTGTAATAATAATTAAACTATATCAAGAGTGGGTCAAAAAATACACCTTATGACTAGTTTTAGACAAAGATATATAAAATGACACAAAAATCATAAGCGACCAGGTAAAACTAATCTATGAACTGAAACTGAGCTCATAATCTGATAATTGTCTACTCTAGAATACTTATAAGATTCTTTTTGAAACTAACGTGATGATGATCCCTATATTTCTTCTTAGTCAAGGCATGTTTTTCTCTCGCCAGCCGATTGGCTTCAGCGACAGCTCGCGTTACCTGCGCTTGATTCTCAGCTTCCAAAGCCGAGTGCGTCTCGTACAGGATTAGCTGAATCTAAAGAATGGGATCATTATAGAAGAATATCAGAATTGGACTTAAGTCGTAAGACTTAAAAAGTAAAACACACCTGCGGTTTTGATAGTAAAGTTTTTAATGTCCGCTTTTGCTCCTCGAGTATTGATTGCACTCTAGCTTTTCCTTTATTATCGATATCAGATTCGGTCAGTATCTGAAAATATATGCAACATCTTTCTATAAACACCTAAGAGATTTATGTACATATAATAAACCATATATATATACCGCTCGGTGGCGTAGTGGATAAGCGCCGCGGCCCACGATCGTTGTCGTTAAGCAACTTTCGCAAGGGTCGGTCACGGGATGGGTGACCAAAAAATTATTATCTCGAGCTACTCAGTGCTTCGGAAGGCACGTTAAGCCGTTGGTCCCGGCTGCATTTGCAGTCGTTAATACCCTCCAAACCGCATTGGGCCAGCGTGGAGGGTCATGGCCCATCCTCCTTAACCATTCATAAGGAAGGCCTGAGCCCCTGCAGTGGGAGACGTAAAAGGGCTGATGATGATGATGATGATGATACCATTTTTATTGGTATTTAACCACTTACTTCTAACATAGCCAAATCTCCTCCCCGTCCACAAACCAAGTCTATGGGATCTGTAACTGCGGAATAAGAATTTGGCGGTGTAGCAAGCACTGCGACAACTCCATTCAGTGCGTTATTTACAATTGGAGCATCGCAATACACCGGTTCACTCAAAACGCAGACTGTGGCGCCAGAATGGGGTAAGTCGGACGCCTCGATTCCTAGATCTCGGAGAGCACACACGTAGCTTGCTACCCTGAACACAAGAGATATTTTTGAATGAAGATTTCCTATTTCATAAACTGTTTACTTTTCACGGTAAAACAGAAAACCGTGGCATAAGAACAAAATGCTGCTATTTTCTAATTTTTACATTCCCTACATGTAATTATTATGTTCGGGCAGTAAGTTACGCTTATTTTTTAAAGTGCATAAAATACTAACGTAATACCATGTGTTCTGTGCGCCGGACTAATGTAGCAGATCAGAACCTTACCACACATAACCTGATCTCTAACGCAATTTCAATATTTACTGTTTAGAAATAAATCGGCATTTCATATTCAAACAGTTTGTTTATTACGAATTTCATCAGTTTCGTGTTACGGAATAATGATGTGGGCCGTTAATGTAAAAGTCATACTTATCTCCAGCGCCGAAGACCACCAACTTCCCCAACTGAGGGGTGGCAGGTGCAGGGGGCGCCTTGGCCTTGAAGACTGCCGCCAGCTCGCGGAGCTGCGCGGCCAGGTACGCGGAGCAGCGAGGCGATGACGCGTGAGTCTGAGCTACCACTCCTTGGAGAGAATTCGCGCGGAGAGCTCGGCAAAGCGTCGAAGCACCCTCGCAAAACTCTCGCTCCTATGTTTATTTACATTCTAAAACTATAAGCTTCAAAGCTAGTTATGTACAGCCAATCCAATACAGTAGTTGGTAAGTCCTTTAGGAGTTAGTCCGAGTTCGAAGTGCATTGTCTACTTATATAACTGTGCTAACTCGGGAGGACCACAGAAATATATCTATTTCTGTGGGGAGGACCATTGTCGTCGAGTACTCATAGTCAATCTATAATAATATTATAAAGAGGAAAGACTTATTTGTTTGTTTGCTTGCTTCGAAGAGGCTCCAAATACAGGGCTACATTATACTCGATTGACATAGGCTATAATTTAATTTTGCAAAGTCGCGTGAACAGCTAGTTCTGTAAAAATAGTTCAATAGTCTGATAAAAAATAGTTAATACCGAAAAATTTGCAATACATTTTTTATCTGCAAATTTTCTACATTTTACTGAGTCTGACAAATCGAAAAAGCTCACCTGTAGTACGATAACGCCATTCTTTACGAGGTCCAGTTGACCTATGCCAACGTTACGTGGTGGTCGCAACGTAATAAACCTGAGATACAATCAAAAAAAAAAATGCATTGAAAAAGTTTTGACTATTAGTGTCAGGTCTTCTAGACGGGAATTATTTGTTTCGGCTATTTAGGCTATTTGTTTGAACATTAACACTCGTATCGAGAGAAGTAATTATTATATTTCAGAAAATGTTTTCATATAAGCAAATATTTTAAATCAATAGAAGGAAGTTTAAATGAATCGAAAACTGTTAATAGCTAATAATAGTAGTGTTCTAACTATTAAGAGTTCTTATTTTTTTCCAAATTTCTTGTTAGATGTTAAAAATATCTGCTTAAGTTATGACATAATCTCAAGTAACTACTTCTGTCACCTATATATAAGAGTGTAAGAATCTTTATATGCCATAAATGGAAATATAGCATTGGGATTATAAAATTTACCACGATATAAAAAAAATATCTGTATAAGTTTTAAAGATTTTTCATTAGACATCATCATTTTAACCTCACCTGGGGCACACACGGTCGAATCTGTATTCTCCTGCGCATAACTGACGAGAATTACTATACGAGAAGCCAAGCTCCTGTAGCCTCTTCACCAATAACGCCACTTTCCTAAAATCAAGTAACCTTCAATGAACGAGTTCTTTTAAAACACTTTCTTTCTAGAGTGGACCGTCTCTGTTACATTGACATTGATTGGCAATCTTTGAGTTCCCAAGTTCGATTCTTGATCAGTTCAATAAAGAAAATTAATACCTCTACATTATCTCTGTTGCTATTCTCGTTGTTTCAGATTTCCATAATACGAAAGCAATAGCTACTTAATTAATTAGGAATCTGAACAAGGTATGTGGTGTTGTCTAAGATTTATTATTTACTAGATGCATTCCCGCGAATTTACCCACGTATATTATAAATAAACAAATAACAAAACTTTCTTGTCTTTATTAATAAAACATACTTTTCTTTAAAACTGTTCACCCAGCCAGTGACGCTTTCTTTGTTAACACAAGCTGAAATGCGCTCCTCGCGTAGATGAGGCGGCAGGAGGTCCGATAATCTAGATATAATAATATAAATTATTAAATTAGATCAATTTTGCATCCTCATTGTATTTTTATGTTACCATTTTTCAACAATTGTAGAAACAAAACAATTGTATATATTTTTATTTGTAATTATTAATACTTATGTCTTCGTGATAGAATATTTAATGATAACGGTTGAAAACAGTATTGATGCAGAAACTAATTTTGAAACTCAATATTCATAGATATAAACTTTTAAACTTTCGCGTTGCATTATATTAGATTGTATAAGTCGGATATTAACGCGATAAATTTCGATTGTTAGGTTTTTCACCTACCCATATTTCCCGACGTTTCAACTAGGTTACACCGGTCGTGACCATGGGTCTGTCTATTCCTGGATATTCTCGCCGGATTCCACAAAGTTAACATAATATTCTAAATTGAATTTCTCCGCCAGAGATTTCCGAGCAATTCCATATCCAATTTTACTGTAGGTATTTGTTATTTCCTAATATCGTTATAACACCCCCCGCATCGAACCATTCATGTCCCATATGTGAGTGAAATCAATGCCATTGCATTTATATACAAAGTGTGTCAAGGTCCAATGTTAGACGTATAGCGACTCTTTTCACAGTTACTCGTTACCCAAATTACAAGTATTTCGAGTTACTTATTAGGTTGGGGAAAAGTTTTTCCACTTAAAGTATGCACAAAGTTCTTATAAAAAAATTGTGTGTACGGTAGGATTGCAAAGGCATTGTTCATTATGAGCTGTTACCGCCAGGCAGGACCATCGATTCTGTACTCTACTGCGAACAACTAATGAGATTAAAGCACGAAGTTGAGAGAAAGCGGCCAGAATTAATAAAGAGAAGGGGTGTGGTTTTTCATCACGAAAACGCTAGACCTCATGCATATTTTGCCACTCAGCAAAAATTGAGTGAGTTTGGTTGGGAGGCGTTAATGCAACCTTGCACCTTCAGATTTCCACCTGTTTCTGTCTCTTCAGATTTTTAGGCAGTGTCAAGTTAAAGTCACGCGAGGACTGCCAGAACCACTTGTCGCGATTTTTTGATCATAGCCCCAAAATTTCTATAGCAATAGGATCATGTTCCTACTTACAAGATGGCAAAAAGTTATCGAACAGAATGGTGCCTACATACTTTAGTTAAATGTAAATACACTTTATTAAAAAATGTGTTGAATTTTCAAATAAATGCGAAGAAACTTTTACCTCGACCTATTATATGATCGATAACCAATAGGTATCAAAAGTACCGATATTGATACGGAAAAATCCTAAAGCAAACCAGGGATGCGGCCGCCTTACTCTCTAGGCATGAATCTAGCTTCTAGAGTTTATAGTTTTGTATAGCTTGTCATATGGCTAGAGTCTAGCCATATGCCATGTGTCAGGCTCTACAAAACTATAAAATATCTCCACTTAACTTTAAGCCTTAATATATTGGCAGAGTTCAAAATCAATTGCAGAAATTTGACATATTGTGGTATCCTGACGTGCGGCCGCGTGGACTTTAATAACTACAAATGAATGATAAAGAATGATGTTTATGGTTTTGACAGCAATGTTACCAACTTATTAATTTATCCAACAAAACATATGTCAAAGTAGTAAAACGAAATGAAATATCGCCACAGCATCGTTAAGATATCGCTGGAGTCAATGGCTATAGAGCAAGGTGGTCGCATCCCAGGTTTTCTTTCATCCAACAACAATTCTACTTAGTTCCAAAGTACTTACGAGAAAGCTTTATTTTTTATGCGGATTCTAGCAATTGCTGCGGCCAAGTGTACACGTTGTTCCCACACAATATTCTCTAATTCCTTGAAAGGGGATCCAGCTTCGTTCAGTAGGGCTACTGCGCGCTCGATTTCGTTTCTGGGCCTTGCGACCCATCGGCGCCTCGCCAGCTCCATCAGAAATAGCCAGATTAAATGCCGGTGATTTGCAATCTGAACATACACATTTAGATAAATACCCATTTATACTCCCTTTAAATTATTTTTTTCCATCTAAGACCTACATAATTTACATATTTGCTCAGGAAGCTTTTGCTTCTATTCTTTTATATTAGCGACCCGGAACAACTTTTATTGTTGAATATGTCAATTGAATTGACACATATTTTTTCGCAAGTAACGAAAATTCATAGTATTATTAATTTGTTAAGCTGTAAGTGACAACAATAATAGAAATGTAACGTATTAGTTCAAGAATCATTCTTTACCCAAACGAAAATCCAATTGCGTCAAAGTGCAATCAAATAAATTGCTTTTACAGATTTAGAAGTTACACAAAAGTTTAATGATAATCACACCCACATTCAAATTAAAGATGGCAAGGCGAAACATTCTACGTTTCCAAGTCGTTATTAATAGACACCACTTCAACGGAACTTAAACTTGGCAATTCTTCTTGTTTACTGAAACGGTGCCCGTAAATATAACCCCTAATTTTCGTGTCCTCAGAATACGAAAAAGAAATGGTTTCGGTCACGAGAGAATAATGGGATTTTGATGGGCCCTACTTTTTTACCATCTTGTCGAATTCACCCTAACGGATCGTAATGAAGGCTAAATATGCCATGACAATAAATATACGGCCTCCATTAGTCATCCAAGTTCAAGATCACGGTAATGAAAAATACAATGTCTTTTAAAAATATATCTTCAAAACTCTTTTGTATCTGAAGTAGGTGACTTCGAATTCATTATAATGAAAATATGATGAGTTCCAACCAATAAAAGTCGAATCATAACTAAAAAGAACTATAATGTCACTTGTCATTTTTTTTTGAGGTGTAAAGAAAAGTTGTTACTTGGGTCACCTTCTGCTCGGATTTGCCAGTTTTGTATGATAAATTTTAAAGAACTATTCGATTTATATATTTAAAAATATATAAATTATAGGCTCTCAAACTAAAAAAATGTTCGCCATCTAATTATTGGATATTTTACTATCAAAACTTATTCGAAAGGCAAATAAATACATACTTAATTTCAAATAACATTACTTACGAAAACAGACACTGAAAAAATGAAATCTGAAATCAATCGTAAATACCCGGAATTTTGTTTGCTTCTTGGATTCAATTAATTTTCCGTGACGATTAAATTTGAAACAGGCCATACAACTTCAAAACTAACTTCTCGGATTTATTAATTGCCTTTTGACTTCATGAAATTGGTGTATTGAAAGAAAATAACAGTAATCTCACTAATAAAAGCGAGGTGTGTATTTGATTTCCAAGTTTACCAATGCATATGATTTCAAAAACATATGTAGCGTTACTAAAAATACTTATATCCAAATTTTTTGTAAAATGTCTCTAAAAATTTTAAGAGTTCCCTTGATTTCGCCACTGACTCGCGTAACTGAAGCTCTGTTTGAATTATCTAGGTACTTTATACTCTTTTGAATAAATAAGGATTCTCCAAATCAATCCAGGCGTCTTTTATTATACTATTAAAAATACGAGTGCATAAATATCAAGGAGGCTCTCCTTGATAAATATAGATTTCAATGTGTCAAAAATTTCTTCTTTTCGAGGCCAGAAAGCGCCTTCGTCACTTATGCAGGTATGTCTGAACTAATGAGGTGCCGAAAGTTTACCTACTTCTTTCAGTAAACTTAGATGTATAATTCATTACTTGTGTAAATCGTACGAAACATAACCATCACGATTGTTGAAAAATTGACAAACAACCGTTTCGGTAAATGGAAATTTTACTAAGCGTGACTTTGTGGCATGAAAATATATCAAACAATAATTTAGATAAATGAATGTTTTCGCAAACTTTTTTTATGAAAAGGTGGTGTTTTGTTAATGATACTCTCACAATGAGTGATAAGCTTTATGCCGTTTAATGCGTTCGGTTTGCGATTAAGGAAATTAAGTAACTTTCGCGAAAGTCGGACATAAGATGGATGAGCAAAAATTTATTATTTCGAGTCTCGGGATAAGGTACTTTAAACTGTTGATCCCGGCTGAATATGCAGTCGTTAGCACTAGCACTATGCCCGCGGTATGGGTTCGGTAAGATATGTTTATTTCTTAGGATAGGCCTTTACCTCACTCACTAGTAGGAACATGAAGAGCTTACATCGAAGATAAAAGATGTCTGTAAACATATTCTAAACACTTCTGTTTCACGAAGGTCTATAGCCGGTTATTGTTCATAAACTTACAGTTCCTTTACTACTATTACAATAAATCAGAAATTTTTAATAACAATTAAATCGTCAATTTATTTTAAAAAAGAGCAAATTTTTCGTCTCAATAACTAAATGAAAATATGTGTGTACTAATAACAATATTTTCCTGTACGTATATAACTCACCTCGGGGAAATCGCTAAAGAAATCGATGTCGTCTATGGCTTGATTCAATATAGATTTATCTGAAAGCCAAAGGCAAGTCTACGATATATTATAGAAGTCTTATGTGAAAAAAGAAACACAAGTCGCGTGACATAGTTATAATATAATATATGACAATAGCTTGAACCTTGAAATGATAACAGACCAAGTAAAAAAATATGAAAACGTTCTTTATAGCTTTCCTATTCTAGTAGGTGAATCGTGATTCTTTTCAGTTATTGCCTTGTGATATTCTTCATGAAACTTGACATGCACAGAACGCTGTTAAGTATAATAATGTTTTATAGCAAAAAATTTAGACAAAGTAGTATCGTCAGTTACTATATGACTTTTTTATTAAATAATAGTGATGGGTAATTTCTAAATAGTTATTGATAGTATGATACTTATATTAATTTGTATCTACGAAAAATTTCTGTCTCCATTTTCCATGTAATCTCACTTTTAAAAAAATCAAAAAATAAAATCAGTCTAATCAAAATCTGTATACAAGTCTATAAGGAACACTTTTCTGTTTTGATTTCCAAATAGGCGTTTTCCTCAAAATTTTACCCTTGTGAAAGTTCAATTTTCGTTTCTGAACTTACGTAACTATACTTAGCAGGCGGCAGTTAAGAAAGTTGTTTCGAAGAGAGTGCATGTAGGCATTTATCGCGACATAATCGCTAGACACCCTGATAAAAGTTAAATAATGTTTCGGAACAGTAGTAAACTAGTTCTTAACATAGCGTGAGTCGATTTACAGCTAGGCACTACTTACTAAGCGTATAGGGCTGCTCGTACCTTCCCTTACTTTGTTTTCAGTGTGTTTTTTTATCTTGTTCGTTACACTACAAAGTATTTTGTATTATTTTATACTAGATTTTCTATGAAAATTATTCAATCTAGACCAAAGTTCGTAGCCCTTAAGCTAAGATTTACCTTAGTAAATCAACCTTTTCGTGAGGATAAAGTACCTTATATATTTTAATAAAAGCATAATAAAATAATTTCATGCGGAACATTATATTTATGACGAGCTTATAAATACTGATAAATTCGTAACGAAAACTTAAAAAATAGAAGTTGCTACCTAACTCTTGATTGAAAATACGATGATATGTTATGCAATTTTGAAACAATGATTCCAAAAAAGAAATTTATTACTGCTTATTGTTATTAAAGAGTCGATGACCCTACACTCTCCCCTACATAGTAAATATCGATCGTGCGTGACACTTACCCACACGGCATAAAACGACTTTCGTTTTTTCAATTTGCCGCAAAACTTGTAATTCACAAATCACCTCGAATTTAGTGATTTATACTAAAGTGTCTTCCGCAAACAAAATTATGTTCATAAATTTTGGCTTTACGACTTAGTATGTCATTGCGGAACCAAAACTTAGGAGGTCGTGAGTGAATCGTTAAAATTCCAAGGTTTTATGCTTCCTTAAAGAAATAACGAAAATCTTACAATTTTCTATTTAAATTTTCAACTTTGCGAACTGCCAATTGCATTGATTTCAATTATTATCCGGCGCGAATGCTGTTACCTACTTTTATATTGTGTATAAAATTTCAAATCCATTTCAACCTGTAGTGTGTGTATGTACACATGGTGTTAGAAAAAAAAAACAATAGTAAAATGTATTCTTACATCTGAAAACATCATAGATCAGCGAGTAAACGCAACGCATCTCTTGCTCATCCTTAAAGTTAACAGCGAGAGGTGGCTTGCTTAACAGTCGGGCAGCCTTTAAGACCTGACATACAAAACAATGGTTACAATAAATATTGGGCTACATCAAATATTTTCTCATTTATTTGCACTGAATAGGTTCCGAAACTACTGGAGAGATTTCAATAATTCTCTCACCCACGGGAACATCGTACGCTGGTGACATAGGCTAAAACTTACTTTGTTTTGATGTCTCAATAATAAAGATATACCTGCGCGATATCCCAAATGGGTCCAGGAGCAGTTTTGACGGCGACAGGCGGCGGTGCATTAGGGTTCTTGGTCGGGACCACCAGGTTCCACGGCGCCCACTCCTCTGACCGCTCCTCCGTGGGTTTTTTCGCCTGTTCGCCGTCTTCCTCCCTGTTTAATTTAAAGAGTTCTTTATTAGTATAGTTCGGTATAGAGTAGGGCAGTGTAGTATAGTATATCGGTGTTACTTTGATAATAATTATCCAACATTAACCTGATGTGTGGTCTTTCACGTAAGAAAATTATTAAAATCATTGGCCATACAAAATTGAGAAGGAAATTTCAAATCACCGATTAAAGAATAGATCCAATTTTAAAAGGAAGCTAAGGTTGATCCATGCAGGAGTAGGATGGTTCAAAGATTTAAATAAATACCTATTTATTTAGATCTTTCAATGTATCTTTTATTTGACAAGACAGGAAATACTTAGATATTAACTGTTTTATTACTTACATAGCTATATGTTCATTAGTATTTTCATCCATAAAATAATCAATGGCTAAATAGTACTTTCAGTTAGCCGTTTGGCTACGTCGCTATAATAAGAGTTCCCATATTTGCAGTCAAAGTATGTAAATGTATTAAATTATAAACGAAATTAAATTAAACTAAGAATAAAAGTACAATGTATTTTGTATAATAATTTACTGCTTTTTTTTTGTAATAATTCCAAATTTTTAACTGATTGTTAAAACTATTAGTGAGGTGACATTTTGAGACTATTTGTTTGACATTTAGGTCCTATTTTTTCTTTGTATTTTTAATACTTATTAATTATTTTTAAATTATATTGAAACTTTTTGGTACACATTGAGGTTTCTATGTGAAGAAAACTGTTTTTATATAGCGATAAAATATTTTACCTCGTAAAAGGCAGTATTTTATATCTATTACAATTACGTACGTACCTAACTACGTGTTTTTCTACTAGAAATCGTTATGCCTCTGGAGTTTTTTTGGTAGGAAAATAAAAACTGATAGATATTGCGTTAAACAAGGGTACGAAACTGTGTGATTTTATCAATTACTAGCTGTTTTCCCGCGACTTTGCCCGCGTAATTTATAACCTATGTTACTTGTGTATATTAAAGCTTGCTTGCGCGTGAAAGAATTTTCAAAATCGGTCTAATATTTTCGGAACCTATTCGATTCAGAAACAAATTTTCAAATCTTTCATCTTTAAGTTATTAGTAAAAACTATAATGTTTTCACATGAAGAGATTACAAATACGTACTTCACATTACAAACTTCACATTTCTATTACTATTTCACTGGATTAAAAAACATGTAACAGTTTAGAATAAAATAGTAACTAATACAATGTGTAATAGTACGTAACTTAGCCTCATGCAGCCGATATACCATTATATGGGAGACTGAAGCCTAGAAGAAGTTTAATATAAATCCGTTTACATGATCACCAGCGCAAATCACCTCCGGTAGAATATCATTATAGTAAATGCCCTATTTCTACGAAACAAAAAAGAGAAGAGAAGCAGAAAATGTTTACACTACGTAGGCTTATTATGTAATGAAAAATAAAGAATATTGAATATTGGAATCTTAAAATTTATCTGCGATTTTTTGAAAAGTTCAAAACAATGTACATAATTTCACATGGAACATAAACTGAAATAAACCTTAGCTTCATTATTGATACAACCGTGAGAAAGAAGGTTGTAGGCTATATTGAGATATTACATGCGAGCCCACGATTATTGCGCGATTTTTATTTTTATATCAACAAGAAACAGTTCATCATATAAAAAAGTGAAAAATACTCGTAATACGTATTTTAAAAGCGGTTAAATTCTTTTAGGTAACATTGAATTCGGGCTGAGGGTTTCTATAGTTAATAAAATGTTAACCGCCAGATATCAATGTTTCTTAAAAAATTTTACCGCTTTCACAATAAGTATTAATTTTCACTCTTTTAAGTTTAATTCGGTTTTAAGTTTTTATTTCATGCATTTTAGTGATATTTTGAGTTTTAGGGTAACAAACATCATGCACACTTAATGCAAATTTAAGACTTGTTTGGTTTTCTCATCGATGCCATTGCCAGATCTGGACCAAATAAAGAAAGAATCATCAAAATCGTTCGACCCAGTAAAAAGTTATAATGTAACAAACAGAAAAAAATACAGTCGAAATGAGAACCTACTTTTTTAAGTTGGTTAACAAGATTTAAAAAATAATTTATATAAAAAATATCCCTAGTAAGGCGCCACTGTCCATCCATTTGTCAGTTTGTCACAAATTTTCATGAACCGTAGAAGTTAGACGACTGTATTTTTCACAGATTATGTATTTCACTTAAACAGAATATGTAATATAAATTTTAAAGGGAGCTCCTACATTTTATTTTAATTATTTTTTTCCAATTTATTAAAATTGACTGCACTAAACAAATAGAAGGTATCTGAACTAGCTGTCCTCCAGTGACTTCGCTCGCGTGGTTTACACCATGACTATTATCCCTAGCGAACCTAGTCGATAAAATGTAGTCTAAATGTTAATTCGGGCTTAAATGTTTATAAAATCCGTTCAATAGCTTTTGTGTGAAATATTAACAAACATCCATACTCAAAAATTTCGCAGTACTTCGTTTTTGTTATACGAATAACTGTACAAAATTTTCAAAAATTCTACCTACGTCATTTTTACAACTGCCAAAATGAATAAAACTCTTTATTTCGTCTACCGCCTATTTCATCAATCATCCACATCAAAATGTCATACATATATACAACACAATAATAATATTATTCATAATTCATAATTTTGAGATAATAAAGTATTCCTTTAAGCTATAAAAACATTTCGCCGTAAGCCATTCTTTTAACTAAGACTTGAATGTACTAAGCCTGTCGTTTTTAGATTTATTTGGCAGCTTATTAAAAAAAATAATTGCCACAGGATAAGTACTTTTTTGCCACATTTCCGTTTTTATCAAAGGTTTTGAAATCTCATATGTCCTACTCATTCTGTTTGAGGTTTAATACATTCTCCTGTCTGGTGTGTCAGGCAGTGTGGGTGTTTCTTACGATAACATATGTAACGCGAATGACGTGGGCATAAAATGGAGGACAGGTCACGGACGTTACAGCACGTGGGCTATAGATGCAGGATAATTAACTACGATAGTTAACTAAGCTTTTAGGAAAGACCGCGGTTGCGGCCGCAGTATTTCAGGCGTGCACAAGCCTTCTTTGTGGGTAGTTAAGTATTACGAAACCATTCTATTGATGCCAACCGTTTCTGCAACGCAGCTTAAACATGTCGCAGTCACTTGCTTGAATTTAGTATGTTGCGGTAAAACTACAACATGCTACATTCCGAAGCACGGAGTAGCTCGAGATAATCATTTTTCGGCCTAAAAAAAATATGGCCTATGATTAATGGTTCCCAACTTAGAGAGGGTAAATCAATTAATCTGTAGCTACATAACCTTTAAGGATCAATAAAACTATCTTAATGTGGAAAATAAAATCATGGGCGCATTTAGAGATATCTTTCAGGACGGCCCTGACCTTCAATTAGCGCCAGGTGAAGTGTGGATGAAATCAGTTTACCTATAATTTTATAGCCGATACCTAGTGGCAGCTACAATACAAAGGGGCGCAAAGAATAAAGAAAGAATGCCGCGACCTATGGTGCCTGATTCTTGGCGAAAACACTTTAGTCAGACACAATACATCAGTATTAAATATGACTAGTTACCTCGCATTTGAGCTTTATAGGGCTGATGACTATATTTCTGCAGTCAGCACCTTTTTTTTAATTTCTCACATTCCAATTTGTTATTTATTAATTAAAAAAGAAGTTTTTATAAACAAGCTTTTATTTGTGCGCACTAAAACTTAAATAAATATATTCTAAACATTTAACGTACTTATAATCAAAATTCTCTAACAGTAATTGATTTGAAAAGCTTGTGGCGCTCATGAAATCGGAATCGAGGAAATACACAGATATTTTACGCTCTTCAAGCTTTTCGAATTAAATGTTGTTAGAGACATTTTTAATTATAAGTACTTTAAATGATTAGAACAGTGTTACCAACCTTACTGTATTAATAGTAGATTTGCTGTTTTCACATTGATGCCCCTGTTTTCTCTTTCGTTTCAAATTTTGACTATTTTTCAATTAGCCTTCAGTGCTATTTATTACAAATATAATCCAAAATAACCGATTGCTAATCATTTGAAGCCACAAAAGAGCACATGAAGAAATTCAAGAAAACTATGTGTTTAAAAAGGAAAATGAGTCAGAAAATAAAGAAGATTAGGCAATATTATACTATAATATTATATTATATGCAATTCCTGCGAACGAATACAGTATGAAATATACCTCTTGTTCTTAACCTATTGTTTTCTCCTGTTTTTCATTGGTAAGTTGTTGTTTTTTAGTTTCTTGGGGTTGGCAACACTAGCTTGGAATTTATTTATTTACTTTTTTTTTTAAAACCTGTTTTTATTATATTTTTATGTTTTACATTTTAGTATTGTCTCGTTCTAATAATTTCTGGCACTGTTCTTATTAGGACTTATCTAAAGAGCCCAAACACGACGCAGTTGCGTTATTTCATTGCTAAGTTCCTATAACCACCGTTCAACTTCATCATCACCAAACCTTGGTCTGGAAATCATCCAGTACCTCCTCATAAAGACGGATCTAACGAGCTCAAATACGATGCAGTTGCGTCATTTCATCATTAAGTTCCTATGACCACATTCCGACTTCATCTTCATATCAGCTTACTGACACCATAATATTGCATTGTCATTTGAGTTACATATCCGTGCAAAATGTCAAATCTATCGGATATTGGGAAGTGGGTAAAAGTTACGTTCCAAGATTTGCGCACTGACTAACATACTAACAGGGCAAGTTACATAAAAGGTTGAAAAAAAACAGAGAAGAGAGAAATTTAAAACAGACTAAAAGAAACTTAGTGATATAAAAGAAAAGGTAGGGCTGACGAGGCACTCGCATTTTTATCCTCCACTTCATTTATTAATTTCTTTTATCGAATTTATTTATAAATGTACGTTTCTGCTTACACAAAAATATGTTTATTCTAATTATATTGTAAGCGCAAATAAATGAATAAAGTCCGCAAAAGGCATAGTAACCTAGTAATGATATTCTATACATACATCTCCAACTCCAAATCCTTCTGCATAGCAACAAGCTGAAAATACTGCTGCAGCCTCCATTCCTTATCGCTTGGCAGCACAAGAGTCTCCGCCTCACTGGTATCACCTTCCTGCCTCGCTGCATCTTCCTCAACCAGCAGTTGTGAAAGCAATTTCGGATAGAGCTCAAACAAATTTCCCTCCCCATATTCACTAATAGCCACCCACAACGCATTGGGTTCATATGCAACAGACATTTTTCATTCATTTCAACTTTAATACGCTTGTAAATAAAGTTTCAGTAAATCTACTTTTCTTAACGAACTTTCTAAACGTGGCGTGACTTTGTTTGTAGCGTGGAGCTATTCCGTTGAGGGCCGCCTGCCTACTGAGACGACGCTCGAGTTGTGAGCGACTTGTTGCTTCAGTTCGTAAGTAAATATTGCAGAGCTCATGTGATATTAACATTAAAAATGGGTATGTGCGAGTTGGACTTATACACCAACGTTTCCTTACAAATATTGAATTTTAAAGAAACAGACTCTTGACAAGTTATACCGAGAAACTTAAATAATTTCATAGTATATATATTACCGGCAAAACCTGATTTAACGAGAAACAAGTTTTTCCTGAGATTCTTCCTTTACGTGATAGGACAAACCGTTATAGTCTAGACTAAACTGGTTCGTACTAAGCCCGATAGGATAAGAAAGCCCTACGACAGAAAGACCGCAAGGGTGCTGAGACTGCGTATTGACGTATCCCATCAATCTGTCAGACAGGGCTGCACCCCACCCACGCAGGGTTTAGCCTTCGAGAACAGTCCGCCGTCTGGGAAAAGGTTGTCCCAAGCCTTTTCCTTCCCGCAGTGGGTGACTCCTCTTCACGCTCCGTGAGAGGAGTCTTAGGGCAGCGGAAGAAACCGGACAAGAAACCTTGCAGGATACCGGGTTCTTCCTATTTATATTAACTTGCCCTTTTCAGGGTAGCTGGCCGAAGAACCCTGGTTTAAGGATTAAGGTGCATTTCACTTGCTTTATCAAAAAAAGCTAAAAATATAAAAAGTAATTCTATAAAAAAGGTTGCCTTCAGCAATAGCATATTTAGATTTTTGACCATATATATAAATAAATATATATAACCTGTCGCTATGATTTTTCTAAAAATAAACTTATTCCTTTTAAGGACCCAAATAAGAAGAAAGTAATTTTGAAGACAACATTTAATTATATTCTAATAACAAACTTCGTACGTTCGTTCTTTAAGCATTCATCTCATATACCAAGCGAGTATAAACAATTTAATCGACCTCTTTGGTAAAACATGTAGTTGTCACATTCGTCCATAGACGAATCACTTAAAATTAAAAATTTATTTTCATCATAGACCTAAAATAACTCATTCATCAACTTTTTTATTCTTTAGCTTTCTATTTAGCATTGCCAAGCTTTACATAAACTACAAACATGTTATACTAGAAAACTAACTACATATTAACCAAAACATGTCAGAACTTATCAAATAATTCTATGAAATGGTCCGAGTTGGGTTTTTTGGTTGGATGACAGAATGGATCATCTCGTGAATGTTGAAGACAGCTATGCAGAGCGTAGACAACTTTTTAAAAACGTTTGGGACACAGCAATGAAGGTTGACACTAAAAATGCCGATAATAAGCCCAAAGTTATAAAGTAAGTTGAATGCTTTTGTAGTGAGAGAGTTAAAATTTAACAACCGCCTTAGAAAATAAAGACAAAGACATGTGCTTTCTTAAAGTGCTCGATAATAACCCTTTGGAGTTCAACACCTATTATGTGTTATTTATTCGAAATTTTTCAAAATACAAACAGAATATCGGTTCAGTAGGCCTAGCCTGCTGCTTAAACTGAGTTGAGTCCAGTTATTTATTTATTTTTTTAAATTAGTCGTATATACACAAATGTTGTTGTGAGTGTTATGTGTGCCCAACAATAAATTACTTTTCTTCTTTCTTTCCATAAGTCTGTCCATTAATTTTCTTAAATTTTAATAAGAATTTAACATAACTTTACTTAATTAACTGCCCTTTTTGATTTAAATTGGTAAGTATTTTGTATCAATACAAAAAAATATCAGATATTTTTTTTAAAGTAATTTGACTGTGGATGCTTGAGTATCAATCAATTCATTTTGGGAAAAGGTTCTTTCCCAAAATAGTTTTGAGTCCTGATTTCCACCAGGCCATGGCCAAATTAACTTCAACAGAATTACAATACATAAGTACTTCAGTAATAAAAAAATGTAACTGGTTACATTACTGGTTATAAGACCAAATAGCTTTAAAGCTTATGTACGCTTGTCTAGAATAGAGATATACTAGGTCTAGGATTTTTCTTCCTTCTATCATGGTTTCAATATGTCAAAGGAAAAACGAATCATGTATTTTTTTTATTTATTTAATTAAAGTATTATTTTTTAAATCATAATACGCACAATCTATGCGGTTATTTCTATTGCGGTTGCCTGGAAGAAATTGCTTTTTAGCGATAAGGCCGCCGATTGTACCACTAAATTGTATCGATTCTCCTTTTGTTAATTATGGTGTACAATAAAAGTATTCATTCATTCATTCATTCATTCATTCGTTCATTCATTCAATCTATCTCCATCACATAAAGTAGTCAATGCTTCTTTGATTAAATTATTGTTTTTATTTACAACTAATGACGAATAACAATGCTCTTCTGCCGCCTTTCAAGAAGTTTCGTCATCTCCAACATTTACCCTAACACAAAACAATGACATTATGAATAGTAATAATAATAATAACATAATTAAAAATGAACGAATTATAAAATGTTTTTTTTTCTGTTTCCTCGCAAATGTGTTAAAAAACGTCGTACGATATACGTGCGTATTGGTTATAACATGCTCGGCTCAATTACTGAAATTCTGCCTCGCATATTATAACCATCATAACGCACTAATATCGTAATGTACTATTATGTCATCATATCTGTTTTTACTTATTTTACGATCAGAACACTAAGACTGGACGAAGTCGACCGTAGCTCTACCATTAAAAAAAGGAAGCTGAAATGGAAGCATCTGCGAACTGTCTGCAATAAAATCCTCGATTACTGTGACAATCAAGATATCGATAACATTATATATGAAGAGGTTTTTTTAATTCTCTTATTTATTCTTACTTACAAATTTCATGAGCCTAGATGAGCTTCTTGGTTGATTGGCTTGCACACCGGTTCAAGATGATAGACCCGGATTGGATGTCCTGTCGGGTCAATATAGAAAATGAACTTCTCTATTTTGTTTCGAGTCTGAGTGTTGTGGTATATTCGTTGTGTCAGATTTTAAACAAAATGATGTTAAGCAAAGAAAATGTAGTGCATTTTAAAAAAGCTTATTTCATTCACTTATTTACTTTATTAGGAATTGTTGAAATCGAATCAGTATTTGATTTTAGATATTTTTTTAAGAATGTGCGCTAATTATTTATGTTACAGATTGTAGATAGGAATTGTTTTGGAAATAACAGTTTTATATGCTTACTAATCTATTTTAGATAAAAGCGAGAAATCAACCAACATACTTACATATAAAACATAAGAAAGTCAAAAGGGCTAGATTAAAACGTAAAGTGAAAAAGTCTAGAAGCCTTTCGTCACCCACCGGAGACCCAACTCAGCCGAAGATGATATCTGAAAGAAACGACGAATTTACTGACGAAACCAATGAAAATCTTTCACCGTCAAAGCCTGCTAATGTCACACAATTGAGGAGTCCAAGAAACACGTCTGCTCTTTCAAAACCTAATACACGTCGAAATATGATAAAAAAATATAATAAAAAGAGAAAGCAACCACTTTCGTAAATTGTGTTCAACAAACCACAGGAGGCCAATTCTACTAAATAAATTTTGTTTAAATCGAATCGAAAACGGATCGAATCTGAACGAAACTACTGTTTTTAATGGTTTTTCTATTCTACTAAGTGACATACGATACAATTCCAGCTAAAATAGAACTGGAATCGAAAACAGATCGAAACCGAACGAAACTACCGTTTTTAATGGTTTGCCTATTCTACAAAGTGACATACGATACAATTCCAGTTCTCCGGTTTCGATCCGTTTTCGATTCGATTTTAACAAAATTTATTTAGTAGGATTGGCCCCCTGATCAATTTTATCACATTATCACCATTCATTTATCTTATACACACTCGTATTACTTGAGAAAATGTCCATAACTTAAGCAAATATTATTAACCAATAGGAGACTTTCATAGCGAATAATAATAACAGTATATATTCCAACTATTAACAGTTCTTACATCATTCAAATTCTTGTTTATTTAGTAAAAATATCTACTTAAGTTATGACATATTCTCAAGTAATAACTTCACTCTATTATAGATACAAGTAGAAGTTTATATGATTCAATCATCTAAAAAATATTGTATAAGTTAAAAAACGCTATAAACAGAACCGGTTTTATTGAATAAAAGTTGTTGAAACTAATGAATGTCCTTCTTTCACTGTATACTGTAAAGAGTAATTTATTTGCTAGAAATGCGGTTAACAATAAAGATATTAGCAAAAGGCACATTTCGCTATAAGCAACATGCAAAAGTTTTGAAAATAATATTAAAATTGATAATTATTAAATTTAAATTCATAATATAACAGCAAATCACACATACAATCTTAATACAGTTAATAATGTTAATAATAAATTTACGGATCGGATAGAAACTGTTCTTGCGACTTCGTTCGCGTAAGCTTATACCAACCGTGTATGATGTATCTTCCCGAGGGTGAAAGAATTATTAAAATCGACCCAGAAGTTACAGCCAATTCGATGTAAACAAACAATCAAATCCTCTTTTTACAAAATACAAAAACACTAAAGCGAAATTATAATACCTATTATTGAATAAGAATTTATTCGACAAATTTGTTTGTGGATTTTGTTTGTGATATGAATTTCCAAGAACAATCCACATAAAAATATTACTATTTTATCGTTTTTACTAGTTTTCAGATAGAAAACTGGAAGTTTTATATCCATTCCATTTTGCCATTTTTATGAGCTGTGTCAGCTACCTGTTACTACCCATATGTTAGTACCTAACTAGGTATTGTTTTTACCATAAAATGGACTTCACTCATACTTACTGACATTCGAAAACCTGTAATCTATCTTTTTCAAAAAACACCAAAGCCAAAGTTTTGTTGCATCATGTATCATCTTGTTG